TACATCTACCAATCACCTAACCCTACGTGGTGCACCAGGATTGGTTGTCTCCAAGCAGAATTAAGAGGATACATGGCCTTTACCAAATTAGGAGTTGTTTACCACAGAGAGCACTCGCCGTCAGGCTGGCCGAGGGCAGAAACCGGCGCCATCTTTTGGGCGTGGTACTTTGCATCTCCCAACAGTGGCCAACCAATGACTGGTCCAGCTTGAGACCTATGCCATGAGAGGGAGCCCACTGCTGATACTACGTTGAAGACCAGGACTTACCCCAGAGACCTAGGATAGAACCAAATGTGACCGGCAAAAAAGCCAATGAAATGATTCCTAACGATATTCTGCTATACTCATAGGTCATTGCCTAGCCCAATTGTCATCAGAGAAGCTTCACCCAGCTACTGATGGGAGCAGATACAGGGACCCACAGCCAAATATTAGGCAGAGCTCTGAGAATCCTGTTGAAGAGGGTTAAGGATTGTAGGAGCCAGAGAGTTGAAGGACATCACAAGAAAACCTACAGAATCAAGTAACTTGGCTCCTAGGTGCTCACAGAGACTGAACTGCCAACCACAGAGCTTTCATGGCCCTCTGCATACATGTTACAGTTGTGTAGCTTTGTCTTCTCGTGGGACTCCTAACAGAAGGAGCAGGGAATGTCTGACTTTGCTGCCTGCTTTTGGAACCCTTTTCTCCTTCCAGGTTGCCTCATTCAGCCTTAAAAGGAGAGGAGTACCTAGTCTTCCTGTAACTCGATATGCCATGACTGTGTGATATACATGGGAGGCCTAACCTCTTCTGAAGAGAAAAGAGGATGAGTGGATGGGAGTGGGGGAGAGGAGAGGTTGGGAGAAGAGTGAGGGAGGAAAAAATGTGATTGGGTTGGGAAAAATAATTAATTAATTAAAAATAGCCCATGTAAAGGGGAATAAATTCTGTTGAACTATTTTGCAAAAAATTAATATGATGCTAATATTAATTATTTATATTTTTCTATTTGAGCATAAATATATTGCTATAGTTGGTATAGTGATTTGTAGTTTATAAAGCAATCTGTGTGACAATCTGTAGTTGCCCATAAAAGTATGAGCTCAGATTAAGACCAAACAAGAGTTTTATACATAAGAAAGCTCAGAGAAGTTAGCCAATTTATCTAAAGAAAATAATGTTGGCTGCCTTTGAACCTGGATTTTCTTATCTTCAAGGCTGGTCTTATTGTATTTAAGGCTACAATGAGGCATAATCCTATTAAGCATAGTAATCCAGATTGCTTTCATTATTTTATTCATCAATCTATTTTATGTACAGGGATGTTTTGCCTGCATGTATGTCTGTGCACCCTGGAAATGAAATAATAGCTGGCTGTGAACTGTCATCTTCACACTAGGAATCAAACCTCGATTCTCTGGAAGGGTAATCAATGCTCTTAGGTGGCAAGCAATTTGTCACTACTGTCCCACTAGCACCATATTAATAAATAAAACAGTATGTCAGTGGATACAGGCATGTGATGGATACTGTGAGATATAAGAGAATGTTTGAAAATGGGGTAGAGTCACCTTAGTACACATCAGGAGCTACAGACCGGAATGAGGAGGTCACTGGGGCTGGAGCCTGGAGAAAAAGGAGAGATTAATAGGCGGTGAGAACAGCAAGGGATTAGATAATTGGGCTGTTGTACTGCCATTTATTCAGAGTATGATGGGAGCTGTGGGATGAAATTTAATTGAGAAATCTTAAACGAACTTGGTAGCACAAACCTTCAACCTCAGCATTGAAAGGCGGAGACAGGAGGATTACTACAAATTCGTGGCTAGCCCGGGACACATGGTGAGTTTGAGGCCAGCTGGGCTACGTAGGAGATCCTGCTGTCTTAAAAACAGCAAAGCCTGGATCAAAACTCATTTTTTGAAAACGCCCTGGGTTTTAATTAATCATAAGAGAAGAAGGAGTTTTACACAAACTAGCATGACGAGAGAAGTTTAATAATGGAGGCGTGAGAGACGTGTGATACGTTGTAAAATTCTGTACATATGTCAAAGATAGAGAGAGCAGAATATGCTGACAGATGGGATTTGGGGGTAAGAGAAAGGTGATAAGGTTCTGGCTTGAAAACCTAAAAGGATGGGGCTGCAGTTACAGAGGAAGGGGGAGGTCGGGGCCCGGCCTGTCTCAGCCCCAAGCCACAGTAGCCATGAGGTTTGGCCTGAGTGGGGGAGCGTGGACTTGGAAACTCCTAGCAACCCAATGGCAATAAAGACCAAACACGGGCATCTTGTCATCTTTAGAGAGCTCTCACTTCCATGCTGCAAAACTGGAGTCTCTTTTTTATTAGGCATCTTCCTGGCTGTTTCCTAACTATGCTTCCCCGACCCTGAGGCCATTTCTCTCTCCTCCAGTGGACCCCTCTGCCTTGTAGATCCTAACTCTTTCTCCTCTACTTCTTACTTACACACCTAGCCCTCCGCCCTGGTGCAGGCCTATTCAAACGCTTAGTTCTGTATAGATGCAAACTAGGAGACATTCTCCACTGAGGCCACGCTATTCAATAGCACACCAGCTAGCATCCGTACTTCAATGCAGACCAGAGCTCCTGGTTACTGGAACCCTGGAGCTGGAGGTTTTACCTGGAGATATTCCTTAATGGAATTTTCCTGGCTGCCGACAGGGTGACTACTGGGGAAGCTGGCTTAGAATGGATGCAAGATTAGAACATCAGGCATTTAGTTTTAGTCGTGATGAGTGTGAAATGTATATTAGACATCCAGTTGGGGGTATTAAGTAGGCAGATAGACATAAGTCTGAAGTCGGGAAAAAAAGAGCACTTCATATTGAGAAGTCAACAGAAGGGGGTGACATTCAAAGTTCTGGAAGACTATTAAGAGAGAGTGCGGAGATGTTAGGTGAGGTTTGCTTTACTCCTTCCTGGGAAGATGTGAACTAATCCCTATTCATCTCAGACACAGCGCCAACGCCAGACCAAGTTTAGCTCGATGAACCAGTGAGTTTCACTAGGTTTATTTACATTAGCATAGATGAGGGGTTACCTACAATGGCACGAGCAACCTACGGGCTGCTACACCACTGAAGAAAACACTCCCTGCATCCCCAGCAACTGTTCACAGAGGAAGATGACCTCGGCACCCTCACCCGTGCTTCCTCATCCTCATCCACAAAGCAAGAGTCTTGGGCCTCCTCGTGTAAGGATCTCAGGTGGGTACCCGCAGCGGCTTTGCTTTCAAGACCACACCAGTCATATCCCTGGTACAGTTTCCCAGTGCTAATCCAGGTTTAGAGTCTTTCAGTATTTACAGGCCAAGGAGATATGGGAAGAATGGACAAAGAGCTGCAGGTAGGAAACAGGGTGTCCTGGAAGGGACTACTGAAATGATTAGAGCTGACGTAACACGAGGACTGAAAATGAACCACTAGCTTCAAAAGGGGGCAGTGTTTGTAGCTTTGTTGGTGACATGTTTGGAAAATAGGGGAAGATTTGCATAGTTCATAAGGGAGCAACAACTGTGGTTTTGTATTTTACAGACAATGTTGAGGGTTTTTTTTGTTTGTTTGTTTCTTCTTTTTTTTTTTTTTTTTAGAAAAGATTAATCAGCTGGGGAGATATGTCAGTGAGTAAATGACCTAAGGCCAATCCTGATGACCTGACTTTAGTTACTGGGACCCACACACTGAAAGGAGAGAAGCAACTTCTGCACATGCAGAAATAATAAAAATTAAGAACAAGGAAGTGTGACACAGATTTAATTATGACTGTTATGGGAGAGTGAGACACTTAGGAACAGATAGGACATACCCAAGACAGGGTTTAGGAGTTTCAAGACGGTTTTACTCAAGTGTTTTAATAATAGCTATATTTGTGATTTGGGCAGCTTCTGAAGTTACATTATTCAAAGGTCTTTTTAAAAACTCCAGACCCCCTGAACGTGGGTGTCAGTGAGGAGGCCTCAGCAATCTATGGGGCCTCAGGTAGTAGACCAGTACTTATCCCTGACACACAAATGGACTTTGAGAGTCCATTCCACATGGAGAGATGCTCTTTCAGTCTAGACACAGCAGGGAGGGCCTAGGCCCTACCTGGGATGATATGATAGACTTTGGAGAACCTCCATGGAGCAACCAACCCTCCCTGGGGAGTAGAGGGGGGATGAGATGGGGACTTGGGGGAGTGGTAGGGGCAGGGGAGGAGTGGAGGGAGAGGGGCTTAGATTGACATGTGAAGCAAGCTTGTTACTAATTTTTTTTAAAAAAATAATAGTAATAAAATGAGAAAAAAAAGCTTAAGGGCCACGTGCACACTCCTTTTGTCCACTTAGCACCTAGAAGTTGAAAGACTTCTAGACTCGGAGGCTGTGTTTATTGGTTTTAGCACACAGAAAGCCATCAATTTGACAGCTTAGCCCCACCTTTGCCTTTCTCTTTGTGCAATCAAGTCATATTTTAGTAGACTAAATTATAGATTTGCAGACCAAGAACACCTCATGTGTACAAAATCAAAACTCTTCTTTGGTACAATATCACACAAGGACGTCAGTAACTGTCTTCAGACTACTGCAGGGAGCCTGGAGAAAATGTCTGCATCTCTTTAGACTTTGTCCTTGGTTGGATCCATGGTTCTAATCATCCTTGATGCACATTGTTGGGTGATGGACTCATGCTGTAGTGAAGCAGCCCACTTAGATGTTTACGTTTAATGAAACCAGTTATTGTGAGCGAGATTAGTAAAATGACCTTGCAAGTAATGCTAAGAAATTCTTACTTCTGCCTTACATTCTTTTGTTCTATCGTCTCATCTTTTTGCCTCTGACGAAAACAAAATTGAAAGATGGTGAAGGTAGAATATTAGTTATATACGACACAAATACTCAAAAAACGTAATTCCATAGAGACTATGCCCTCAAAAAAAGCAAAAAAAAAAAAAAAAAGTCATAAAGAACACACACCTCTTTTAAGATTACCAGGACAAGGAAAATAAATGTTCTCACTGTTTCTGATGCTAAAAAAATTCATTGTTCATACTCACAGTACACGGTACTGCGTCACACAAGGACATCATCATATAAGTATATGCTGTGTGTTGAGTATAGTTCCCTCCCTGTATCTATCTACCTCCTCTGCTCATTCCCCTCCAGCCCCTTTGTTTCCATGGTAATTTCACTCGTACTTTCATGTCCTATACATACGATTTTATAAAATCTAGGAAGCACACATAAGATAATCTCAGAAATATTTATTTCTGAGACTTGCTTAATATGGTTATTTGCAGTTATGCCCATTTTTCTACAAACAATGAAATTCAATCTTTGTGGCTGAAAAACTTCCATTGAGTACATGTGCTTTTTTTTTTTTTTTCTTTACCCAGTACTCTGTTTTAGGTTGGTTCTGTAATTTAGCTGTTGTACATAAACAATAGCGTGCAAGTATCCCTATGATGTGTTGACTTGGTCTCCTTTGGGTAAACACTTACAAATGGTATATAGCTAGATCACGGGGTAGATCTATCTTCCTTCCCACGTAAATAGTAGCAGACAAGGGTTTCCTTTTGCACGTGTTTTCATGCTTATCATTCAGAAAGAAGAAACCCCAAAGTAAAGCAGGACAGTGAAGAATTCTGGAACATTCTAAGGAATTACTTAGCTTGGGAATTTGGTCAAAAAAACAAACCTTGGGAACATGCCCATTTTCAGCCACTCTGTTTTCACCAATGCGCTGTACAACAATATCCCAAGTCCCCAGGTCTCACACATCTAAAGCCTTTCCAGATCTCTTAAGAGAAATTAAATAAGAGTAAGTCATGCATAAGGAAGCAAGGGGGCACACCTCTCATGACTGTCCTCCGACAGAAGCACCCTGGTTACAATTGCTATTGCTAAGCGCCAAGCTCATCTTCTTTCTCTATTTCAAAGAATTTCATTACAAACTTTCAGCATCTTTATTTTCTTTCACTTTTATTATGCTCTGGTATTTTATTTTCATTCTTTTATTAGGCTTATGGGGACTTTTGGAGGAGGATGAAACAGAAGCATTTTTAACCACAACTTTTCTTCTCATCTCATAAAATAGAAACTCAGACTCCATCCTACTTTTTATTAATATATTCATGTACACAGTGAAGGGGTTCCTAAAGATGACTTCACTCAAGTGTAGCATATGCTTTGATTGTGTCTGCTTCTCTACTCCTCTCTTTCTTCCCTTCTCACTTATTTCTGTCTTTTTCCCAAATAATTCCCCATTATGCATGGAATGCATGGAGGATTCTTTCATTCATAAAGATATGAGAAAATGTCTGAATGTGGCTTATTCCATTTAATAGACCTATAGATCCATCCATTTACCAAAAAAATAATTTCATTTTTCTTTAGAACATAGTAAGAACTGCTGTGTGTATTTACCACACTTTCTTTAATTATCTGTTGATGGGCACCAAGGTTGACTCCATGACTTAGCTATTAGGCATAGGTCTGCAATAAGAATGGATGTGTATTTCATTCTGTTAACATAACATGCTGACTTAGGTTACTATATGTAGGTCTTCTTCCAGGAGTGATCTAGTTAGCTCATATCGTAGTTCTATCATTAGTTGTTTGGGGGAACATCCAGATTGATTTATATAATGACTAGCCTAATTTCATTCCCACCACCTGTGTATAACTATTCTGTTTTGTTTATATTCTTACCAACATTTTTTATTGTCTTTTGAGGATAGCTGTTTTGACGGGCTGGGATGGAATTCCCAGTGTACTTTTGGGTTGCATTTTGCCGATGGCTAGAGATTGTGAACAATCTTTCATGTACTTACTAGATATTTGAACCTCCTGTTTTGAAAGCTGTTTGTTCATTTCATTTGTCCAATTACTTACTAGATTGTTAGATAATTGGAATTTATGTTTAAAGTTATTAATATAGTCTACATATTATTCCTCTGTCAAAGATAGAACTGTCAAAGGTTTTATCCCATGCTCTAGCTTATCTTTTCACCTGGTGAATTGTCTTTGATCCGCTTTTTTATCCATTTATTGCATGTGATGCTTGATAGGGACCAAGCTAGATGTGATAGTTAATCTTGGTTGTCAACTTGACCATATCTGGAATTCACAAACCCAAACAGCTAGACAAAGTTCTGAAGGATTTCTTGACTGTATCATTTGAGATGAGAAGATCCACCCTACATCTGGTCTACACCTTCTGCTGACAGCAATATAAGACCACATGGAACATGGAAACTTTTGTTTTTTGCCTGCTTATACTCACTCATGGCCAGCAAGGTCATCTATTCTTTTCCCAAGGCATTCCTTCACTGGTGTTAGAATTTACTTCATTTGGACTCCAACACAGAGTGAATACTAGCAGCTCTCTAGGGCTTCCCTGGAATGTCAGTACCAGCTTGGGACTAGTGAGATATTCAGTCTTATGAGTTGAAAACTGAGCGATCCATGGCCTTTCCACAAGGACACATCCATTGTTGGCCTACTTAGACCACAGCCTGTCGGATACTTTACTATAAAATGGAGTTTAATGTTGTGGCTTGAGTCAGAATGTCCCCATAGGCTCTTATTGTAGGGAGATATCCCAGGTACCTGTAGTGTTGACCACACCTGTTTGGGGCCTGGTCACAGGTATGTAGTAGGCAGGTGGAATAAAAGGCTGGAGACAGGGACACATGCTCTCCTCCAGGTTCCAGTCGGGTCTCGGAAGGCTGCAGAAGCTAACCTGGGTTACCAGCTTCTCTTGTGAGTAATTTCCCATAAAAAAATAACCAACTATACCCCTTATCAAGTATGCAGTTCAATTTCCTTTTCATCCTGTGCTTGCATTTTTGGTTCCCAGTTGGTGGAACTGTTTAGGAAGGATTAAGAAATGTGGGTTTGTCAGGCGAGGCTACTGTTCCAGTGCCACACCTTCCTGCCAGCCTCCCATGCTGACCCGCATGGTGGGATTTACTGCTCAGAAACCATAAGCCTCGTGGAAGCTCTTTCTTTTATAAGCTGTCTTGGCCATGATGTCTTAACACAGCAAAGACAAGTAACTAAGACACCAGTCATGTAATCACCATGTAAACAATTGGTATTCTACATAAATGCAAGTATTGTGTGAGAGTTTTTAAATGTGAAATCGAATCCAATCGGTAGTTTATTTTTAGTGCTATGACAATAATTTTCTTGTTTTGACATCACGTTCATGTTCTGAATTCAAGTTTATTGTTCACTTGGAATTTTTAAATTTTGGTGGCAAATGGCAGTATTATTTAAAAAATAGTCATATACAGCATTTTACTATGTTAGTGGTAGTAATAATATCTGCAAACTTTAAAAATGAAACTAAGGGGCTGCAAGACGGCTTAGCCCATAAAAACTCTTGCCATACACACCTGAGCACCTCATTTAATTCCCAGAAACCACATAAAAGGCTGTATGGAGAGAAGTGTATTTGTAATCCAGGCACTGCTATGGAGGTAAAGACAAGAGAACTGACTAGAACCTTGAGCAGTGGAAGAAAGAAAGATGAGAGACTGTGGCTCAACAAGGTGGAAGGAGGAACCAACTCCAGAAACTACGCCCTGACCTCTGTTTGTGCGCTGTGGTAAGCTGGTGACATCCCACGTGTTTAAACAAGTATAAACAAAGCAAATTAATAAATATTTTAAAAATCAATAAAAATAACTCAGTTGTTCCCCAGTGACGTCAGAAGCTACACCCATACAGTTTCACCAACATGACTGCCTAAACATGAACTGAACAAAGATTCCAGCAACAGACATGCCAAGGTTGATAAGGGGAAGAACACAAGGTCTCAACCCTACACAAAGAAAGAACAGGTAACTAGGATACTAAGAGAGGAAGAAATAATCTTCCCCAGGAAAAATACATAATTGATTATCCAATATGAAATGTCCATCCCTGACAACTTGCATCCAAGTAACACTGTACAGATGGAGCTGGCTACATTTAAAAATATATATGTATGTAACAACATATAAGCATGCAGTATACATACATGCATGCTACAACAATTAATAAAAAAAAGCTATGAACTTGAAAGAGAGCAAGGAGGGGCAGATGGAATGTTTGGGAGTGAGGAAAGGAAAGGGAAAATGATGAAATTATACTATAATCTCAAAATAAAATAAAACTATTTTTAAACGACGTAAGAATCATCTCATATCTTACCTTAGCCATTGGTTGTAAGAAACAGAATGACATCCAAACTGGACCAGCAGAAGAGAAAATCTTAGGAAAGGTTGCATGAGGCTGGAACAAGAAAATAGAGTACTTTCAAGACATAAGATAGTTACTTCCCCTCTGAAGTTTCTCTGTAGGAACCCTTCTTCAACTCTGTTCCTGAACCATTACTGTGTCTGTAAGAGAGCAGATTTTTCTTTGTGTCATTTCCAGAAGTCCAACACAGTCACTCCCAGACCACTTTTAACTGATCTCCCAAGATTCCCCCAAGTTGTAGAATTTATGAGTCTTAATGGTTGGAAAAGAGGATCTGAGTGGTCTATGTTTTTTGAGAGGAGTGTCTTGTGTGTGTGTGTGTGTGTGTGTGTGTGTGTGTGCCTGTGTGTGTCAATATGTGTGTACATGTGTATGTGTGAATGTATGAGTGTGTGTCCAAGTATGTGCATGTGTATGTGTGTGTGTATGTGTGTGTGTGTTCTTGTATGTGAGTGCATATGTGTGTAGGTGGGGGTAAGGGGGATGACTGATCTGATCTGACGTTCTTGTAGTAGAGACTGTGAGAAGGAAAGAGTTCCTGGGAAAAATAGGGCACATTACTACTCAGTTTGCTGTTTAAGCTCCTTTGACACACAGACAAAAGTGCTTTCTTTCCATCTCTAGCTCAGTTCCTCAACCAAATGGAGAACAAATAAATATGGAATGATTGACAGCAATTCTAAATGAGGTGGCAAAGTATAAAATATAAACAACAGAAGGCACATCTCTCTTCTCATTCTTGAATTACTTTCTTCATGTGTCTGCATTGGGATTTTGAATCCAGGGTGTTACAGGACACCGCCTAGTTCTGTGTTTTCTTCTCCAGACATTACCATAATTGACCAACACTTTAGGACAAAATGAGTCCCTGATGAAGCAAGTTGTTCCTTGTGGATTTTATTTTGGCTGCCACTGGTATGATAAAGGTCTCAGTATCTTAATTCATCTTGCAGAAGCTCACATGCATGCCATTACTTCTTTGCTTATTATTGAAGGGTTAAAATTACATTTGTATTTACACTCTTACATTCCCATTTGTGAGCAACAAGACTAGGGAAACAGTGATGAAAGGGCAGAATGCAAAATACCTGAACTAGCATGTCTGCTGCCCTGAAGAAACCTTCCCTGCCCACTTATTGATAATTGCCTTTATTTCCTTTTGAACCTGTAGACAGTTAAAAGAATTAAATTTTGTATTATTTGATGCTTGTGTCATGGCTTTTTATCTTTAAGAACATTAAGGGGGAAATTCTAAACAGAAAAGACAGAAGAAAAATCTCTTGTATGTTAGCAAGATTTATCACTGGTATTTCCATGGGTTAAAAGGGTAATGCTTTTGGTTACATACAGGAAGAGATGGGAGAGACCGGTGAGATTATAACCCCACCGCATTTGAAGTTTTCATGCTTTCCCTGATGTTTTGTAAGTTTGTGGAAACATTCAGGCTTCCTTGGTCTCTGGATGAACTGCCTATGTATCTGGCAAATTAAAAATGTAGACTGGTCAAGCACAGAGGAAAAGGTAGCAAATGAAAATGATCTTTGCTCCTTCTGAGGTAATATTTTTAATCTACATAGTCATCTATTTGACTTTCACTAAGCAAATATTACAGAGTTTCCTAGATCATTCTGTACCAGAACAGAATGATAAACGGAAAAGAAAATAGAAATAGTCCAGGAAACGATGACTTCATTACAGTGATCACTTCAACCACTTAAGACTCACCCATGTGTTAAGTATTGTGTTACATTTCCAGACACGTTTATATTTAATTTCCTCAAGGATCTTCTAAGGTGGGGAACATTACCTTCTATCCAATAAGACAGTCAGACTCCTATGAGCTTATTTATTTATAATTTTATTTAAATTAAAAACAATCTTGTTTTAAATACTAACCTCAGTTCTCCCTCCCTCCTGTGCCCTCCACCAACCCCCATCCCATCCCCCGTCTACCCCCCCCCCCGGGAGGGTGGGGCCGTCCCTCCTTAGGGAATGGCTGCCAAAGCACATTCATGCACTAGGGATAAATACTGGTTTCACTGCCAGAGGCCCCATAGACTGCCCAGGCCCCCCAGCTGACACCCACACTGAGGGAGCCTGCTTCAGTCTCCTATGCTGGTTCCCCAGCTGTCCATCTGGGGTCCATGAGTTTCCCACTTGCTCAGGTCAGCTGTTTCTGTGGGTTTCCCCAGCATGGTCTTGACCCCTTTGTTCATCACTCCTCCCTCTCTACACTTGGATTCCAGGAGTTTGGCTCAGTGTTAGCTATAGATCTCTGCTTCTACCTTAATTTCCATTACAGAAACTTCATCCAGGAGCTTATGCTTTAAATACCAATAATAAGTCTCAAGGCTCTGAAGAACTGCAGTGCTGGGCCATACCAGCCGCAATTGAGAAACAAAACCAACTGAAGAGTTCCTGCAGAGAATGGTTGTGGTAAATACCGTTTGCCACGTGTTTGTTCACTTTCTTATCTGCATGAATATAATTTCATTTCGGTATCTATTTTTTAATGATGTGTCATCAAAAAGAATTCTCTTTTTGTTCACTGGTAAATCATGGATATACTTCAGAAGCTAAGCTACCCAGGTTTTTCTGAAAATATTTTTTTTGGGGGGGGCATGGGTTTTGAGAAAGGGTTTCTGTGTGGCTATTGGAGCCTATCCTGGAACTAGCTCTTGTAGACCAGGCTGGTCTCGAACTCACAGAGATCCACCTGCATCTGTCTCCCGAGTGCTAGGATTAAAGGCGTGTGCCACCACCGCCCGGCTCTGAAAGTATTTTTATTTTGTTTAAAAGAATACACCCTTTTGTCTCTCAAATGCAAAAAAAAGTCTTTCTAGTTTCAACAAATTCTCTACTTAAGTTAGTTTCATAGAGATTAATTTTAAATGACTATAATCTGGAAAGTTAGAGAACACTCCTAAAATAAAATGAGACCAGTGCACTCTAGTTGAACTGTTGCTTTTCATTTAAATGTGCTTAGCGTGCATCTTATTGTTGATAATCATGTCTGTGTTGACACCTCAGTATTTATTTATTGATAATATGCTGCCAATTATAACTATTTTCATAAGTGATAAACCAAATTTAGTTCCTGATAGTTCAAAAATATTTAACTGTTATCACTAAGACTTCTCAAATTGTTATCCACATCCTTTCATTTTCTAATATTTTTAGAATGTAGAAACTTATGAGGTCTTATTCATCTATTTATGAAATAAGTTACGACTTGCAAGACTAGTTCACATTGTATAATTACACAGTACAAACCTGACTTCTTATGCCTTTTACTCATATTGAGTTGGCCTATATTACAAATACTATTTCAAACTATTAAATTATCCCTTAAATACGGATTAGGGAGTTTCTTAACTACTAAAGCCAATATATTAAAAGCAATTTTCAAAAGTTTGATTGTATATGTTATTTATTTCAATGGAGTCCAATATATTTTAAAAGAATTCTGATAAAGTAAAACCAACCCCACGATATAATAAAAACATAATTAGCCTTGAGAGATTATATAGTACTAAGGGATTTATAAGTTACAGTATTTACAATTTCTATTCTTATACAAATATATGCCTTGCTTTATTATTTTACTTGGAGGTAGGAGTTTAGTTGGGAAGTTCAACTACAAAATGGTTTTATAACAGAAAACAGCATTTCTTATTAAAACTAGTATTGTAAAATGTGTCTAAAAACAGAATAATAGTAAGGCATCTTTTCCCCCATAAGGATGGCAAGGAGATTAAAACTTGTGGAGAAAAATAAGGAGAGGGTGTAGAATTGTAAGGACAGAACTGGTCAGAAATCTGAATTCTTACAACAGGCAAGCCATGCAGGCAGGATTTACAAGGGAGTTTCCTGTATCCTCAAGTGTCTAGCTTACCTCATATCATTGATTTAATCTTTTCCATCTCCTAATTTTAATGGCTCTGCTTTCCCAAAGGCTGCTGTAATCTACCCACAGCTTCTTAAAATAAGTAACATTTAAAATAGAAATACTGTTGCTGAATTTTATTGTCTTTTCCATTTTCTAATAACACCCCCATTTGTAGAGATACCAGTATCTTCTGCTCTTACCCCAATAAAAATGATTTTTATTATATTCACTATTTTGTGACTGAAGTCATTTTTATGTTTATGAATACGTGTAAGGCACTTTTTCTGCTCCAGTGCAAAACTTAAGAAACTGAATTTTGTTGAATGTATGAGACAAGAGCTATATCCAAATCAAATTTTTGATAAATTTGTGTCATGGGATACTTGAAGTCTAATTTTATTTTTCTTCTTAGATCAGCCTGGAGCAATGCTTCTCCAAACATGTTTCTAAGATAAATAAAGTCACAGTAGCTGTTGCTTCCCTAAGATGTTCACTCCTTCAGAGATTTACTTAGAAAAGACAGAAAAAAAAAAATCTGAAATAAGTCCCAGCTGGGAACCATGTGCCCACACCCAATGGACTTTTTTCTTTAAAGACACAGAAAACAAGACTACGAGTCAAGTTCATTGAGTTGGAAGTTTTATCCAGAGAACGTCATTCTAGTCATTTCCAACTTGGAAAGCAGGTGAATTGCCGTTTCATATTATCTCAATTTACCAATGGCATAGCATTTAGAAATTTTGTTAGCATTACCGAGAATGTGCTCTGATGCCATTCCAGATGGAAGTTGGCACTGTTTTCTGGTAAAGTTAAATTTACTCCTTTTTTTTTTTTTTTTTTTTTTTTGGATTTTTTT